TGGAAGGATTGATATGTTTGTATACCAATCTTTGTTTTTATTTGTCATAATCCACTGAATGGTGGGCCTGAAAGGATGCATTTTTGTAATGAAATTATACCTCAGTGTTTATTTAAAAAGAGAAATAAACCAGATCCTATGCTTGGCTGAGAGGCTGTGTAATAACAAAAAATAACATTACCCTATAATTGAAGGACAATCTCAACTTGGAAAACATTTTAAGAAAACATGTTTGTAAAAATACAGAATTAAAATTAGAAAAGATCAATGAGCATTTAAAATATAATAGGCAACTCAAATTATGCTTATGTAAGCATACAGTTTTCTAAAAGGCTAGATGAGAATGTGTTAACAGATTGTTTTGGGATTGAGTGATTGGAAGAGGTAGAGGGAGGCTTTATACTTTTTTAGTGCTTTGTAAATTTTAAATTATATGTATGTATTACATAGACCCTCAAGTTAAATGAAAATGTAATAAAAATCAGACTTCATTTTAAAATAAAAATTAAAGTTGTTATATTCATTTGCTGTCAAACAAGGAAGTTTTTTACTTAAAAAAATTTTAAAGCATCTGCTGTACTAAAAAGGTGAGAAGAAAGCCATTCTTATATTTCAGCTTTACTCGTAGACTAGTGTAAGCCCTTAAAGCTTTTTTCTCTTGACCCAGCAATTCAACCTTTGTCAATTTACCCAAATAAATTGGATATATGGACTAAGGAAGACATATACAAAGTGATGTTTATCACGGCATAGTCCACAAAATCATAAGTACAGGTCGAATGTTCAAGAGTTAAGGTCATTTGTTAAGAAAATTTGGTAGTCCATAAGGTAAAATAATATGTTGCCACATAAATGATATTATAGAGAAAATATTTACATTATACTAAAAAAATTTTATAAGCCAGATTATGGCGTCATGAGAGTGATTATATAGTGTGTTATTCATAAGAGTACAATTTAAGAATGAATGGGGGAGCTAAAACAAAACTAATTTTCAGAGTATTTAATCATTTGACAAGTTGGTTTTATTTATTGGGTATTCGGTAAAATAATTCTATAAATCTCTTTTCTAAGATGAAATTATTAAAAACATACATTCTTGTGTATTTATCTAATTTTGAAATTACTGGCATTTTCAGTTGACTCTTGTATGCTTTATTAGAGAAGATACTCTCCCAACACTTGCTTAGAGCAAATTCTGCCTAATTGTAGGATATTCTCAATTCTAAATTTTTGCATATTAAAATGTTTAAATATTTCAGATCAGATATTTTCACAAATCCCATTCTTTTGCTTTCATTTAGAATACCTTCCACAAATCTGAGATATTTTTATATAGACTTTTATTTGTAATTAGTTTAATAATCTTCCGGTTTAGATGATACAAAATCATAGGGCTTCTCAATTTCATTCTACTCAAGTATACAGTATAAATAAATCTTATTGAAAATAGGAGCTCCATCAAACGATTATTCCTACAAATGAAGATATTTCAACTTAAGCTTACACACTGAAGTGCTTAATTTCTTTAGTTCATTCCTTGCTTTTGTTGGAATGCATTTCATTGTCAGCCTGTTTGCAAGCTTGGTTTCTAATAATTGCAGTTCGCTAAATGTTTTACTCCATTCTTTCAATACATTGATTAAATATGTTCAACTGACTTTGAACAAAATGCAAACCAAATATAGATGACTCATTATCAAAGCAGTTTAATACGATTGTAGAACACTTAGTTTGATTTACTGTCAATAGTTTACCAAACATTTTTAGAATCTTTCCTTCTGCTGGTGGTCAGGTAAGAGAAACGTGTTTTTTCCTTGCTTGTTGTTGTTTTTTTGTATTCATTGCAAATTTTTTGTTAACTCAGGTTCTCTGGGTATATATGTAAATGTTAGTATCCAGACCTTTTATTTTGATCAGTTGAAAAAAACGTAACATTTGTATGAAATTATGATATGGTTCATTTTTGGCAGCTCATCCTCTTTTCATAGTTGGAATTTTTCTATCCTCAGCAGTGTTATATCTTGTTCTTAGGGATTTTCTTGTTTTTCTGAGTTGCTAGGATATATGTAAGTATCAGATTTAATGTTTTAGATTCTTCCCATGATGCTGTATATACGTAAAACATTTAAAAACCTTGTTTAGAATTTAGCATTTGGCAAACGTTCCTTTTTGACTTTTGGCTAGAAGTTCTTTTTATAGAGGATGACAAACTGTTGGACTTCCTAAGTTTTGTTTTTATACTTGACCACACTATAATTCATCGACTGTGCTGAAACCTAGTTAATCTTTCTAAATGGTGTGCTTCATTCCTTAAGTATTATGTTATAATCCTTTAAAGTTATTCATGATTTTCCATCACACTTAAAGACTACAATTTTACTTAAAGACTAAAATTTTACCATGGCCTACAAAATTCTTTCATAGTCTGGATTATACCTTGCTTTTTAATCTCATCCTGTGTTGTTCACTTCTCCTTACTTTCTGAACTCTAGCCAAACTAGCCTCCTTCCTTTCCCTCAAGGCCATTGCATTTGCTGTTTCCCTTGCTGGGAATTCTGTTCTTCCAAATCTTTTCATCACAGTCTTGTGATCATTCAGGTCCCAGGTCAAATTGTATCATTTTAGAAACATTTTCTCTGAACATAATATATAAAGAGTCTTTTTTTCTAGTTTACTTTCTATCCCTAGTATTCAATATTCTATTTTTCCTTTTTAATTTTCTTCATAGCAACTATCACTATTAAAATGATCTGATTTATTATAGTAGCAGAAATATTATATGTCAGGTTCACCACTCTCTCACAGCATAGTAAACACTATTTGTGAAATGAATGACTATCTAATGTAGCTACTATATTCATATTTATTCTTTGATTCTCACTTCTAGCTATAAAATATCTTAGTGATATTTGCCTTCCATATTTTCAGATTAAAAATAGCACCAAACAATGAAGGAACTTTAAGCAGGGTTGTGACATGTTCTTATATCTCTTTTAATGTTTTCTAAACACAAATAAAATATAGCATATTGAATTGACAGAATACAAGTGAACATAAGATAAAATGTATGTGTGTGTGTGTGTGTGTATATATATATATATATTGGAGTTTTGCTCTTGTTGCCCAAGCTGGAGTGCGATGGCACAATCTCAGCTCACTGCAACCTCTGCCTCCTGGTTTCAAGAAATTCTCCTGCCTCAGCCTCCTGAATAGCTGGGATTGCTGTATGCGCCACCATGCCTGACTAATTTTTTGTATTATTAATAGAAACGGGGTTTCACAGTGTTAGCCAGGCTGGTCTCGAATTCCTGACCTCAGGTGATCCGCCCTGCTTTGCCTCTCAAAGTGCTGGGATTACAAGCGTGAGCCACTGCGCCTGGCAAAAATATTTATACTTCACCCTAAAAATAAGACAAGATCCTAAGAATGGTTTAGAGTTCTTGTAGGAATAATCCAGGAACTCTGCTGTTTGAATCATCTAGACTTCCAGTTCCAACCATGAAATGCCTTTTATCAGACTGCCTTCCTACCAAAAGCAGTCATGGAAGCTAGACAAAATATATAAAACCAAATGGTTTAAATACATTGAAATGCAACTAACTCACATAGAACTTGAAGGGGCTATGATCCTAAGAGGTTATCTCCATATAAACATTGGCTTTTTCCCTGAGGACATGTTTAGAGCAATACAGGCCAAGTCTAACGTGGCAGTCATTTCGAGCAGAGGAGACAGTGGTCAGGCCTTGGAGCTGCTAAAATGACTGAAACATAGGGACAAAAATCTCAGATAGAAAGAAATTGCAGAGGAAAAGCCCCAAAATTTATGGACAAATTTCCCTTGAGTCATTGGTGATTCTATAACTGTACATGTGTGGGGCAAGCAAGACTCAAAGAAACTCAGCAGAAAATAGCAGAAGAAATTATTTAACAGCCACATGATGGTGGGGAAACAGAGTTTAAGGCTGCCTAGGTGCATTTGGTAAATACCCCTGGCTTCCAACTGAAATCCCCAGGGCTGCTTCTGGAGGTTGGGGTAAAAACCTAAATGGACGATTCTTAACAAAGCCTAAAACACAATATAATCTGTGTTTACTGAGTCTGAGTTCAGAAGAAATTTAACCTTTTTAAAAGATACTGTCGTTCAAAGCCTCTGTAATTTTTGGTTTATGTAGTCTGGCTTTAAATAACAAACCACTGGACAGACTAAAGAAAGAAAACAAAGGAGCATATTCTAGAGATTATATCTGCACAAATGAAACGTGCATGAGATTATTCACTGAAAATGTTCATGATAACAAAATATTGGAAATAGCCCATGGGACCATCAATAGGGAATTTATTAGCCCATGGGACCATCAATAGGGAATTTATTAGATAAATTTCCTTTATTTATATAATGTATTGTTTTTCACACAGGCACCATCAGCATTTGGTGCAATCCAGTTCTTTATTGTATGATACTGTCCCGATCATTGACTACAGGGCAGTTTGTAACTTTGGACCTGGCACAGTAAGTGCAGGTTGCACGTTCAAGGTTTGACACAACTCAGAATGCTCCCACACATTTTCATGTGCCTTTGGGGTGGGGCGTTCCACTTGAGAATCATTAATATTATGGAATTCTGTACAACAGTGAAAAAAAAAAAAACTGAGAAAGCTGTTTGTGAACTGATATGGAAAGACCACTAGCTTGTTATGTTTTGTTTAAGATAGGAGGACAATGAGAACATACATTTCGATTGTTTACATATGCATAAAACATTCTGTAGCAATATGTAAGAAACAAATGAAAGTGATTATCTGTGGGGTGTGTGACATGAATGGAGATGAGAATGGGTGAAATATTTATGGATTTAAAAAATACTGTTTTAATTTTTAGAACATGGATTTATTACGTATTTAAATTTAAGAGATCTATTTAAAATTTACATATTCATTAAACAAATGTTTTGGTCTTTTCCCAATCCTGTCTCCTTTTCCTTTTCTTTTTCATTCAGTGGAGTAGGGCGAAACTGGGGCTGGGCGTCTGCAGGTAGCAGCATTCTGGCTGAATTTGGTACACTGCATATGGAGTTCGTCCACCTCAGCTACTTGACAGGGGACCTGGTTTACTACAAAAAGGTTCGTTCTTTGCCTTCTATTCTTTGTTTGGCCCAAAGATTTGATTAATGCTTAAAAATGTTTTCCTTTCTAGATACATGTTTATTAGGCTTCTAGCCTTTATCTTTTCTTTTGAAGTTACTCAAAGAAATATTCTGTTTAGAATGTATTTAAAATATTTATTGTTATTTAAGAAGATATAACCACTACTAAAATTTCATTGCTATTTTCATGCAGCTTTGTGCTGCAGTGTGTAGTTCCTAGCCAGCATGGTAAGACAAGAAAAACAGAATAACCAGATGTTTCAGAATTGAAAAGGAAGAAAGAAAATAATAGTTATTCACAGATTACATGATTATCGACCTAAGGTATGAAGACAATCTATATTTGAATTACTAGAAATAAGAGTTTAATATGTTTTTTAAATAGATGATCAATATGGATGTTAAAAATCAGTAGCATTTCTCTACATCAGCTACAAAAGGCAAGAAAATGTCATTTTGCAAAAAGATATCTTACGTAATAGAACAAAAATATGTATGTTTCCTACAAATATAACAAACGATCAAAATTTTACTTAGCTATGAAAAAGCAGAAAATCCTTTCATTTGCATCAATTTGGTTGGAACTGCTGGAGGACAATATGTTAAGTGAAATAAGCCAAGAACAGAAAGACAAATATTATATGTTCTCATTCATATGTGGGAGAGAAAAGAAATTGATCGAATGGAGGGGGAGAATAGAACGGTGGTTATCAGAGGCTAGGAAGGGTGGTGGGGAGAGAAGAATGCAGAGAGGTTGGTTAGTACACACAAAAGTGCGGTGGGAGTGAGATCTAGTGTGTGATAGCACAATAGAGTGACTGTGATTAACTGATTTGTTGTATATTTCAAAATAGCTAGAAGAGAAGATGTAGAATGTTTGCAACAGAAGAAATGATAAATGTTTGAAGTGGTGGATATTTCAGTTACTCAGATTTTATCATTACACATTATATGTTAGTATCAAAATATGTACAGCTATTCCGTATTCATAAAAATTAAAAATTTAAAATTTAAAAATACAAATCTTTATTAAATGACATTGAAGAGGATATAAATAAATGGAGAGATATCATATTTATGTATAGGTAAACAATATCCTGAAAATTTCAGTCATCCCCAGATTGATTTGTAGTTCAGTGCCAATGAAATCTCTAAAGGCCTTTTCCCCGCCGCAGTGGAACTTGGAGAGACACTTCTAGAATTTAAACAGTAAAGAAACATTCTAGACTCTTGTGCGGAAAAACACACTGGCTGGATCTACATTGCCTAGTTATTAACATTGACAGTGTAGTATTTGTTAATAGTGACAAAGAGACTGATGAATAGCTCTTAAACAGAGCTACAGATATGTAGAAACTTGTTGTAACAAGTGTCACACTATGGATTATAATAGTTAATTCCAGGAGCATTGAATGCTTAACTTCAAAAGACAAAGCCCTGATACTTTGAGAATGAAAAATCTATGCCCTTTAGTAAAGAATGATTTTTACAATGGGAAACAAAATATTATCTAGTAAAAATACCAGCTATTCCATTATTTTGTATGTACATTTATATTATATACATAAAAGCATTGTTTGTATTGGTAATTTATCTACTAAAATATAAAACAGTAGTGAAAATATGAATTATGTTTATATCCATCAGTTAAAAAAATAACAATTTTTATAAAGTTCAAAACAAAGCTGAACAGTATATTGTTTAGGGAGTCAAAAGTGGTTTTGATAAATTGTAGAAGTAAAAATAATATAGCGAGATGACTCTCTAAATTAAATGTTTTATTTGGAAGCAAAGAATTCCATTTCAGGGCAGACACACAGACTGGGGTGGTCTTCAGTATACCCAGAGAGCAAAGAGAGGGTTGGAAGTTTTATTAGAAGAGAAATGTTATATATAGTTTTGAAAGGAAATGTATTGACATGAGTAAAGCTTCTAGAAGCTTTCTGGCTCCGATTGGTGACAGCAGTAGGTAAAACTATAATCTTACGGTTTTTAAAACTGAGCTTGTAGAAAACTTAATTTTTGGAGCTGGTGTTCTGTGCCCCGAGTGATTTTCCCCTAGGCCCTTTGACTCTGATTTAGTTGAGTATTGTAAGAATGACCCAATTTGTGTAATTTACTTTCACAAAGTCAAGATAATGACAAATAGGAAACTCAGGACAGCAAATACATCTGGGACATAGGCAGTAGTATGTGAACAGGAAGTGGAAGTGGTAAACAGACCACCAAAAGGTGTTTGTAGTGTTACATTTCTTAAATTCAGATGTGTGCATAGAGTCGAGATATATATATATATATTCGTTTCAGTATATGAAATACTTCATCAACAGAGAAGAATTTTCAGGAAAATACAGCAAAATGGAAGTAAATGACAGAATTTTCCCTGTTCTGACTAAATGAATAATAACAAAAATATTAAAGGCAGTAAAAATTCATCAAAAGCAGTAAAAGAAGGCAAAGATGTAACTTCACATCATATTTGGTAACCAAAATAAAAAAAAAAAAAGGATTTCTGATTTCTGGCATGAGACATAAGTCTGCTTCCTACCCTATCCTGAAACCTTTCTGGGAAGGGAGTCAACAAATTCCAGTATTATCTATCAATCTTGCTAGAGAGACCCGTGCCCAGAGCATCAAATATGTAATTGCCCATAGCTGCAGCAGAGTTCTCACTTCATCCTTCTTGTACACATAGGCTTCAAGTGATCAGATAGTAGTATACTTGTACTCTAGAATTCAAATTGTATCCAGGAAGGGAGGAACAGACACAGACACACACACACACACAACACACACCGCCGACCAACCAAGGAACTCAAGGAGAATTCAACACAGTTCAGATCAGAACTAACCCTGGTAAATGTGAGCAAGATAAAACAAAGCATTGCAATTGTGCAAGCATACTGTTAGAAACAAAAGCAGAGTGGTACATAGCATGTAAAAGACTGATAAAGAATTCAGTTTCAAATTTTTAAAAAAGTGACCATGAGTAAATCATCCTATAATAGAAATTAAGTTTAATAAAATTAGAACTCAAAACTAAAATAAAACAATAAAATGATACAAAAATAATGTGGAGCTAAAGAAACAAATTGGGACCTGAAACAATATATCCCCATAGCAAATTAAATGGAAAACAACAGTGAACTGATTGCACATAGTTAAAAGCCAGATTACTTACACAGAGTAAAGGCAAGAGATAGTCGTAGTCAAAACAAGGGAAAAGCAGAAATTAAAATGATAATATGTAAAATACAGATAATTTAACATATGGGCATTTCTGAAGTAGAGGACCTAAATCATAAGAGTTAACCTAAAAGCAGCAAGAAGCAGCAGCACTTCTGGATGCAGTGGCTCACACCTGTAATCCCAGCACTTTGGGAGGCCAAGATAAGTGGATCGCTTAAGCTCAGGAGTTCAAGACAAGCTTGGACAACATGGTGAAACCACTTCTCCACCAAAAATTAGCCATGTGTGGTCCGGCATGCTTACACTCCCCAGCTACTCCACAGGCTGAGGTAGGAGGATCACTCACACCTGGGAAGTGGAGGTTTCAGTGAACTGCAGTCTAGCTGCTGCTCTCCAGTCAGAGGGAAAGAGCAAGACTCTGTCTCAAAAAAAAAAAAAAAAAAAGGAAAAGATGAAACTGCAAATTCCATTTTTAACAAAATTAAGAGACTTCCTACTTCATATCCCAAAATAGGAAGAAAGGTAAAAATATAAGCAATAAAGACAGAGAGAGGTTTGGTATAAACTGAGGAGAGGATGTTTGGGGCTGCAGATTAAAAAATACAAAGCCAGCAGAGCACAGTTCTCTAAATTAGGTGGTGTATGTTGACATACAAAACTCAAAATTCTCATGAGCAGCAATGAGAACAGGATCACAGGCTGCCAGTGAGTACTTATGCGGACTTTACTAGACATAATGTGTTGAGAAGCTGGAAGAACAGAATTGAGTAAGGCTTTTTACAGACAAGCTGTTTGTGCCTGCAGACTTTGGTGAGAGAAGGGAATAAATGACAGATTCACTAGTGTAAGCAGTGCCATAATGCTAATCTCTAGTGGCTGGGGATAAGCAAAGTCTAAAAAAAAATTTATATTTGGACTTTACCTTGTGTTTTATGTCAAAACTTTCAGGAAAACTGTAATGAGTAATTTGTCAAAAAAGAGAAGGCACAGAATTTCTACAAAGATGTTACCAGAAAAAAGGAAAGGAAGGAAAATTGTGGCCACAAAATATATAAAAGAGCAATTGAAAATTTGACCAAATATCACATATTAAAGCCCTCATCCCTGTAGAACAAGTATCTAAACAGAGACAGGTGCTCAGAGACAGTAAGATACGATATCAGTAACAAAGTATAAGAAAAAATGGTTATCAACGAAATGAAGGCCAAAATGGAAACAACACAAAGAAAGTGTTCAAAATATAAGAAATTTAGAAGACAAAATTGAGAAAAGCTAGTAAATGTGTGGAAATAAAAGGAGTTTTTTTTTTTGGTTTTTTTTTTTTTAGAAAGAAAACGATAAGGAAGAAAGAGAATTGAATAGTATACATTTTTTTTTTTGGATGACAGAAGAGTTAGTTTTCTCAGTTTTTATAATATCATTCAGAACTTTCTAAAAAGTGATTCATCGAATTTTTCAGTTTGAGATTGTTGTACATACTGTTGGTCTCAAACGTGAAGGAACATGGGAATATAGACAGCATCCCTGAGCCAATTCCTAAAACTACTTAAAGACAAAATCCAGCCAAATGAATGACAGTGGGAAACCTTGTGGCAGAAGGATCGATATTGTGCTCAAGTCCAGAACAGTGAAGTATATATCATCAGGTCCTCTGAAGAAGAAAGAGTTTTCCAAAGTCATTTATACCAGCCGGCTTATTCATCAAATGTAATATTCTCAAGCAAATAAGAATACGAGGAAGATAACACCTCCTCCCGCCCCCAGATACCCGTTTAAAAGTTCACCCAAACTAGCGTTGAATCAAAATAAATCCATAGGAAAGTCTCCAGCCATTTAATATATTTCATGATTTTTCTTTCCCTGTTAGCCTCCAGGAGATATTTTTAAAATTGGAATTTCAGGAACTTAAAGATATCAATTGTGGGAACAATATTTGAAGTTCAACAATTTGTTTTACCTTGTTTAATTTTTGATCTGTTGAATTCAAATTAATACTTTTAAAAATACAATGGCATTTTATGATTCAATTCCTGTGAAATTATTTCTGTTCTTATGTTTGAATATATACATATTGACTATGTCTGGAATTATGTTTATAACTGATGTTTCAGGTGGTATTTCTAGGTAGTAGCATGTTGAAATTTAAAATCGTTTCTATTTGTGCTGTTTTCTCTGTATTTTTATTATTGCTTGATTTGAAAATAATGGACACATACCATCTTTTTTTTTTTTTTTTTTTTGTGTGAGACAGAGTTTCGCTCTTGTTACCCAGGCTGGAGTGCAATGGCATGATCTCGGCTCACCGCAACCTCTGCCTCCTGGGTTCAGGCAATTCTCCTGCCTCAGCCTCCTGAGTAGCTGGGATTACAGGCACGCGCCACCATGCCCAGCTAATTTTTTGTGTTTTTAGTAGAGACGGGGTTTCACTATGTTGACCGGGATGGTCTCGATCTCTCGACCTCGTGATCCACCTGCCTTGGCCTCCCAAAGTGCTGGGATTACAGGCTTGAGCCACCGCGCCCGGCCGGACACATACCATCTTATAAAAATGAGTCATTTAAGAAATAGAAGGCTTTCCTGACTCCCTGCCGCCCCTCCAACACACACACAAAGGCGCAAGGAGTAAGTGTATACTCTGAGTAAGGAAGAACACAAAGTCTACATTTATACCAAGCCTTGATGACACTGACTTTTATTAATTGTATTCTTAATTTTATTTTACTTAGGTTATGCACATTCGGAAACTACTTCAGAAAATGGATCGTCCAAATGGTCTTTATCCAAATTATTTGAATCCCAGAACAGGGCGCTGGGGTCAGTGTAAGTATTTCTAATATACCTGAGGCTTTCTTAAAATATTATTTGTCTGAAAACTCTTTGCTTGATATAGTAAAAAGTTGAGTTAGAAACCCTCAGTTAGTGTCTGACCTTGTGGTCTACTGGTTCTCTTCTTTGGCTTGTTTCTGATCTCTCTTAGCTTCAGTTTTCCCATTTATCAAAAAGAAATGTTAATAACATGTCTTCTAAAAGTATTTTATTCCCTGTATTGCTAAAATACAAAGTGGCAGTTTGAAGATTATGCTTAAAAGCTCTTACTAATAAATTTTATCTTCATGTAAATAAAAGCACTGCTTAGGAGAGGGAGGTGAAGGAGGAGTGTGAAAAACAAATGAGCATAGTAGATTACTAGAAGGGGGAGAGTTGCTCTTGGATGAGCCATGTCTATTCATTCATTTTAGAAGAAGCCATCTTGGCATTCATTATTTACCAGTCTCTGTGCTAAGTTCCTTGAAGAGACTGAGATGGGAAAAGAACATCGGGCTTGGCCTGAATTCACAGGCTGGCAGGATAGGCAGACACATAAATATTATTGTACAGGAAGGTACCAGTTGTTAATGAAATGGTGGTAGAAGTGATTTCCTCTGCTAGAGGGCAAAGTGTTTTGTTTAGGGAGGGGGTAATTTTTCTTACTAGAGCTCATTTATTTTTGAAGGAATTGATTTTAAAAGTAACAACTAATATTTATGTGGAAATGTTTATCAGTGATATTTTTTTAAAGTTAGGAAAATGAAAACAATAGAAGTTGCAACTTTGTCACTAATAAAACATGATTCAGTTATTTTTGAGACTAATAAAATCATAATGAAATAGTAAATAAGAGACAAAAGTATCAATCATTTAATTTTTGCGTTGAAAACACTGCTGATTCTGCCAGTTAGAAAATATGCAGTGTGAGTACCAAGAATAGGAAAACATTTGCCCTGGAATTGTCTTTTTGTTCCTTTCTAGGAAATTGTCTTTTGTTTTATGAAAGGGAAGCAGATAAGTCAATATAATTATGTCTTTCATGGATCTGGGAATAGATCTCAATTTTTTTTGACTCTTTTTATATTTACTTTTTCTGTTTCCTGAAATTATTTACATATGACTCATTTTCTCTTTATTTTGAAGAAGATGTAAGCTCTAATGCCTATCTGAGTCTGAATATTTTCCTGAAAAACAAAATCCTGAGAGCTGCATTTCTAAAATGTAAAAACGTAGTTTTCTTATTTCAGATAAGAGTGACTGGGTTGGATATCTACTTAGTAATCTTCATGAGTTCTATTATAAATTTTTACCCCTGAGAGTTATATTGAGATATGAGAATATTATAATAATATAATGATATAATAATATATATGAAAAATTATGTTTAGTTCCTGTCTTAGATGATATGTCAGTGTATATTCTATATGGTATTACCATTTAAATGTAAAAGATGAAATCATAAAAATACTAAGGTTGAATATGTAATCAGGAAAGCTTTTTCTAAGCATGTTGAAACTACAAAAAAAAAAGTTTCCGTCTTTATTGTATGTTACTGTTAGCAGTAATTACTGTATATTGCTGTTAACTGTATTAGCCCATTTTCATGCTACTGTAAAGAATGCCTGAGCCTCAGTAATTTATAAAGGAAAGAGGTTTAATTAACTCACAGTTCCACAGGGCTGGTGAAGCCTCAGGAAACTTACTATCATAGCAGAAGGGGAGGCAAACACATCCTTCTTCACGTGGATGTGGGAAGGAGAGATACTGAGCACAGCTGGTAAAAGCCCCTTATAAAATCATCAGATCTTGTGAGAACTCACTCACTATCATGAGAACAGCATAGGGATAACTGCCCCCATGATTCAGTGATCTCCCACTGGGTCCCTCCCATGACACTTAAGGATTATGGGAACTGCAATTCAAGATGAGATTTGGGTGTGGACACAGCCAAACCATATCAACCTCCGACATTTAATAATTCAAAAGCAAGTTACAGTCCAACAAAACATATTTGGAGATATTCAAAAAACAGAAATTTCGTATCCTTTCTATGTCAAAATGTCTTATAAAATCATTAGGAAAAATGATCACCCCAATAGAAAAGTGGACTAAGAAAAGTTAGTTCATGAAAAATCAAAATACAAATGGATAATAAAAACCTTTAGCCCTACAAGTGGTGTTAATGAAGATAACTTCGTTATCTTGGAGACAGTATCATTTGACAGCATCTCTTTTTGTACAGATGACTACTACTGCTGCCAGGTTAGTAATTACAAAGACAAATACATTTGTGACTTATCCATAGATGGGTCACCAGAGACCTTTGTGTCTCCCTTTCCTATGTCACCACATCCGTAATCAAATCAGTGTAGCTTTTAAACAGACACTATTCTTTGATTAAATTGACATCTCCCTGTACCCAGTCACCAGAGTGTATCTGTTTGTATGCTTTTTGAACCAGCAACTCATTTCTAGCAATTTATTCCAAAGAAATTTTCAGAGCTATATATTGAAGTTTATTTACAACAATCTTGCGGTTATTTATAATAGGGATAATTTGGTTGCAATCTAAAGCAGTCCTGTCTAACAGAAACTTTTGTAATGAGGGAAAGATTTTATTATCTGTGTTATTCAATATAGTAGTCACTAGCCACATGTGGCTATAGAGTGCGTGAAACGTTGGTAGTATGGTTGTGGAATTACACATTAAATTTTATTTTTAATTAACATATTTAAATGGCTACTTGTAGCTACTGCTTCTACATCGGACAGAGCAGTGTTTAATCATCTCATAATAGGGATTTGGTTAAACACATTTTGGCACATCCATATGTAGTATACTATGCAGCCATTAAAAGGTATGTTTTGGAATACCTTGACATAGATAAATATGGCATATCTAGAAAGATATTTGGAAAAGGAAATGCTGTAAAAACAGAAACCAGTGTTGTGTGTGGTTTTTTCTAGATGATTGTTTTTATTTTCTCCTTTTCATTTACTGTTACTACCCAAAGTTGATTATGAATATCCATTATTTTTCATGTTTGCTTAAAACATTTTTAAATAAAGAGAATGCCATTTTCCATACCAGCATAAAGATACTCAAAAAAGTAAATCACAATTTGAGAATTGCCAGCCCTGAAATGATCAGAAGTACAGCATTGATGAAATGGAGGCAGGGAATCGCCTGAAGCAAGGAAGTGGAGGTTGTAGTGAGCCAAGATTGCGCCACTGCACTCCAGCCTGGGTGACAGAGCGGGACCCTCTCTCCAAAAACAAAACAAAACAAAACAAAACAAAAAACAAAGACTAAAAAAACCCAACTCTTTCTCTTCGACATTATATTGAGAAAATGGATAGCCAGGTGAAAAAGAATGCAGTTGAGCCCTTAGTCTGTATTATCTATAAAAATTAACTGAAAACAGATCAAAGACTCTAAATTTGAGAACCAAAACTGTAAAACTCTTAGAAGAAAACATAGGGGCAAATTTTCATGACCTTTGATTTGACATTGGATTCTTTAATGTGACACCAAAGGCACAGGTAACAATACAAAAATAAAAGGTAAATGGGATTTGATTAAAATGGAAAATTTTTGTGCATCAAAGGATACTATCCATGAGAATGAAAGACAACCCACAGAATGAGACAAAATATTTGCAAATCACATATCTGATAAGGTTATATACACAGACTATATAAAGAACTCTTACAGCTCAACAACAGAAGGCAAACTACCCAATTAAATAGTGGGTGAGGACTTGAATAGTCATTTCTTCAAAGAAGATAGGCAAATGGAAAATAAGTACATGAAAAAGATGATTAACATTAAATTGTAAATCAAAACTCAGTGAGATACCACTTCACAGCTACTATAATCAAAAGGATGAAAAATAAGCATTGGCAAGGATGTAGAGAAATTGGAACCGTTGTACATTGCTAGTAGGAATGTAAAATGGCGTAGCTACTGTGAAAAAGTGACAGTTCCTTAAAAAGTTAAACATAGAATTACATATGACCCAGGACTTTATTTCCTGGGTCATATATATACCCCAAAGAATTGAAAACAGACTCAGATGCTTGTATGCCAGTGTTCGTTACAATGTTATTCATGATCGCCAAAGGTGGAAGCAACTCCAGTGTCCAGCAGATGATTGGGTAAACGATACGTAGGTATAAACATACAGTCGACTGTTAGCTGTAAAAAGGAACGAAGGACTGACACCTGCTGTAATATCAACAAACCGTGAAAACATTATGCTAAGCAAAAAAAGCCAGTCACAAAAGGACAAATATTGTATGATTCCACTTACATCAAATATCTAGAGTAGTCAAATTCATAGAGACAGAAAGTAGATTAGAGTTGACCAGAGGCTTTGGACGAGAAAAGAGTGGAGAGGAGAATGGGGAGTTATTGCTAGAGTATCTATTTAAAGGGATGAAAAGTTTTGGAACTAGGTAGTGGTGATGGTATTACAGCACTGTCAGTGTAATTAATGCTACTGAATGGTACATTTTGAAAATAGTTAAAATGGCAACTTTTGTGTTATATGCATTTTGTCACAATAAAATTTGCAGCAGAAAAGATAACTTTTATTCTCTGCATTTTTTCCACACAAAATAAATTCAAATTACTTTATATTTGCTCTCAGCAGTTTTTAATTTTGATATTATAGAAAGAGCCATTCACTGATTACTTTGGCAGAAGATCTTTAAAATCCTAGCGAGCTGCCCTGGTATCCTTTTACCAGCTGTAGTCCTTACAAAATTGTCCAATTTGTTCCTTTTAATGTTTTTGTATATTTTATATCAGCCTCTGAAAAGTATATCAAATTTTATTATTATCATTGAGCAGTATACATCTGTCATATTTATAAATAGTCTGCAAAACAAACATTTAATTGAACTGAAATTTAACAATTCAGCTTTGGCTAACTATATTATAATTAGAGTAATGATAATATCTGTGATATGCACATAGCAATCACAGAGAATAATCACTGGTAATTACC